CGGATATAAGAATCAGGGCCTCCTCCAATATCTCCTGGATAGCTAGGGACTTTATATAGCTGTAGGTACGCAGAGGGTTGTCATATTACCGTACTATAGAGAATCATGTGATCCGGTTACCGTGCCCAACGTCGCATAGTGATGGAAACGTTCGAGCTCGTCGTGTCACACGACGAGCTCGAGTATCTCACTTCAAGGTGGTCGGATTAAGAGCGCGTTTTGACAATAGTGCACCAGTAATGATTGCGAAACGTAGGGAATACATGCAAGTCCATAGGATGTGTATATATAACTAGTAATACTACTCCTCAGCATCACCATGAATTCCAAGGCGTGAAAAGTCATCCGCAACAAGGAGGACGTCCTGTAAACTCCTAGATACTTGCTCCACTACCTCGTCCTCTTCCTCCTCGCATCCAGGTCATCCTGGGTGTCTACGGCTAAGGACGATGCGGTGTGATGAACAGGCGGGGGTTGAACAATCATGCGGGTGGGGATCTGTGCATTAGCTATACTCGCGCTCTCGCCGGGACTTGTGTTCGCACTGACACCAGGGGTTAGCGTCCCTCTGAAACCTGGAAGCTTCGAAATGTCGTAGAGTCGTTTGAGATGTCGTGAGTTGAAGCGACCTCGAGTGTTTCGGTGGATGGCGATTTGATGTGCAAGGGCTGGGCTGGTGGCTTGTAACTGATTCTCGCATTCCCGTAGATACCTCTCTTCATCGCGTATATAGGTAATGAGGCGTCGTACCTCAATATCGAGACGCTCGATCTCTTCACAGCACGACACGTTTTGAAGTAGAGGTCCATCGCGCTACAGAGCAGCGGTCGATGACCACGGGTGTCGAGATATGTCCACGCACGTATCACGTAGTAAGTCGAAGTCTGCGAGGAACGCATACTCTACGACCTCATCCCACTTAAGCGTCCGGCGGGGAGGGTGCATTGACCCAGCAATAGTGTTGTATGTGGTGAGGGCAGTTCTGATGGCGACGGAACACTTTGTAACGCCTTAGCGATATGCTTTCGCAGTTTGTAGCCTTGTTCAATGTTAGAATCAGCAAGCAATATACTACCTTTTACTCACCTGTGCCCGCACGGTTCATCCTCGTTAGCTCAAATATGCGTGCCACAATTAATCCTTCGAGACGGTCCAGGGCACGCTGGTATTTCCGATTGGCCACGAGCCTCCCAACCCTCTGCCACTCTCCATCGTGCGGAGTCCAGCGTTTCTCGACCTCGAGCTTGCACTCCAGTGCCTGGACGAGCTTCAAATATCTCTCATGGTCCTCCAAAGCATGCCGTCGGGCAGTCTCAGCGTTGCGAGTATTCTTGACGTGCACATCGTATGGCACAGCCTCGAGGTGCGATGAGCCCTGGAATGATGTCATTGAAGCGCGTAGAATTTCCCTATGTAAATTGTGTCAGCGGGTACAAGGGCCATAGCTTGACATCGAAACTCACTCGCTCGCAGTAAGATTAACTAACTTCTGCCAATATTCCATCTGCAGAGTTTCGACCTCGGGTTCTCGCGTCAGACTTTGAAGATATACCTTTTCTTCCGCCAGCCAGCCCTCGAAAACTGCTACGTCCGTAACTTTGAGATCTCGCATAAGGTTTGGTAGGGTCGCGTCTCCGTCGCTCAAGATATCAAGCGCCTGCTTGTAATTGTTGTATAAAAAGTCGGCTAGCAAACACAAATATTACGTCAGCACACAGTCAAGTTTGACGACACGACGAGACGGCTTACAAAGATTAGCGTAGACTTCAAAATCATCATTGTGCTCGAAGTAGGTGTCGATGGCCTGTTGTCTATGGAAGACGCTTGCGTACCGTAGTGCCGACGCTAAGGAATTGGATTTTGAAACGTCCGTTCGCAAGTCTCGAGATCTTCGAGTCCTAAACCTTTGATGTAAGTGGTAAGCGAGTACAGTTGGCACAATCGCCGGTGCGCATGTCCGTGGAAGGCGCCGACAAGACAAGTGTGATGCATAGACCGTGCGAGGGGTCCGAGGGAACTGTTGTCAAGCGTGGTCTTGAATTGACATCCAATGTCATATCCACCGCCCAGATTGCTTCCAAATACGTCCAGCAACTTTGAGACAACGGCTAGAGGATACTTTGCGCTGATAGATAATCATTAGCTCGTGAACAACGCATTAAAAAAACGTAACGTACAGCTCCCCGCTCTGTACCATATCTGCAACAAGGAGAGAGAATCCGTGGCGGCACACGGCCACAAAAATGCCCGTTTCGTCGTAAATGCCCCATGCTTTCTTGGTCTTCGTATCGTCCATGTTCTTCCAGCGCGCTTCGCACAAGTTCTCGAGATGTGCGTCCTATAGGTTAGGGTATTAGCCATCACCAACCCGGATGGAAAGCACTCACCTCATCACCTGCAGTAGTGGAGTCCCGCGCGAACTGATCTACAAAAGTGCGGGATAGGTAGCGGTCACTTGCCAGTTGCTGCCCTGTTGGAAGTTCTGAAGATGTACCGAGGGACTCGTCAGTATCCAAGGATCTTCGAAGGACTCTTTTTAAAGAGTCGTTACCGTCCATAGCGTAGAGTAAGCTAAATGTCAACTCGGGTTCATCCGTCAGTTTATATGTACATGCGGGACAGGCGTGTTGCGTCGTAACGATTCGGCTACCATGGCTGCCACGGAGCGTCGAACTTGAAGATATAAATCGAACGCAATCGAGAATTGCCGAGATAGATGTCTGTGGAAACTAACCTGCGCGTGAATCAGCACGATAAGAACCAAAGAAATCAGAAGACATACACCATGTAAGTCGCACATAGTCTTGACGAAAGCCTGGATAGACAATTGAGGGCTCCTAAGATGTGCTACACGGTATAAGTCCAGAGCTTCGGTGGTGATCCCGGACAGTCGGTGATATTGGTGAACAAGGCATCACGCCTTGACGAACGAGCGCACTGCTGATAGTGGCGTCTGCTGGCAAGATTCGAAGAATGACTTTCTCAGCGTCTAAACAATATGCCGTCATCAAATCGTAAGCAAACGACAACAGACCGACTTACTCACAGAACACGTCTATCACGCTCATCGGCCACTGACCGTAGTCAAAGCCATCCAGCCCTAGGTTCTCCCTCTCCAATCTCTCAAAAAACCCTTCCTTACATTTTGCCAGGCTCCACGCAAGGTACGCGTCCGTTATCGCTGGCAGCTGCTCAGCAAACGCCTTGTTCCTACGGAGGACACGATCACGACGGGTGCGGGTATCCACCCGTCGAACACGATTGTTGCTGCTCGCAAAGGTAAGTCAAATGTGAAGGTCATGACAAAATTCACTCACGTTTTCCAAAAGTCTCCTAGAACCTCTCTTGCAAGGTCAGTGAACTCGCCACCAGCATGGCTGATGGCGAGCGGCTCTGTTCCATCGCAGACGTTGCCAAAGCTGAAGTCATCGTAGTCATCCTGCCAGCCATCGATGGTGCTATTATTGTCCTCTTTCAGCGCTTCGAGTGCCCGACGCTCATCCAAACTCATAGCTATACAAAAGGTTTTTTTTCCCCTTCCAAGTATTGAATTAACATAGCGTACCTTGTAGACGTGCTTGCCGCCGCTCATTGGAACTTGCTGCTTGCTGGACCAACTGCCTGTGCTTGAGTACTTTGGAAATGGAGTTGGCTGGCAATCCGTTGTTGTCCCTCGGTGCCCTGATGTGCCGAACCGATCGCAGAGAGATATTTGTGCGGACTCGCTGACGTGCTGCATTTTTTTCGCGCCATTCAGACCTATCTAAAGTTGTACTACTGTCACAGTCCGATCTATTTCTCACGTGACTGATTATAGACTGTCTAGCACTCTGACCAAGCCGTTCGTGAGATCGCTCCTATGTCAACACCATCCAGTGGCCGCCCTACCCAGGGTGGCCATATTCAAGACCTGCACAATTTGCTGCAAGGTATGACACTGTCAGGTGCGTCTTTCAACAATCCAGAAATTAATACACTGACACTCGATATAGATTCATCATTTGATACCGTGACTTGGAGCCGCAAGACCACGGAAGAGTCCATCAGCCTGTCGAGATCATCGTTCACGCCGTCCACGTCCACCAGCACTCGTTCCGTTCCGAAGAACAAAGCACCCATTCCCCCTTCCACTTCAGCTCGCTCTACTGCTACACCATCCCACCCTCATCCTCAAGCTTCATCGATGGTTGTGCAGACACCCCGCCAAGTCACGGCCTCCATTCCGATTCCTAGTGCCATCCGTCCTCCACGAGCCGATCAGACACCCGAAGGATTCTGGGTGATAACGGTTGGGCAGGAAGTTGGGTGTGTTTTACCGCTGGTAAGTGTGACGTGTACTATGGGTACCTGTTGGCTTGTGTTGGCTAATTCTTGACAATGTTGTTAGGGCTGACGTTGCCGAACGAACAAATTTTATCAGCGGTAATATTCAAAACGATACACATCGTTTCAGCGGGCATTAGCAGCATATACAGCCCGCTATGATGAAGGCAGGGTCCGGGCGGTTCCACTGGCAGGTGGCCCTTTCTGGCCATCCCCTCCAGAGTCCTCGCCCAACCCTCCTTCACCTACATTGTCTATGGGCTCATCTGCGAGTGAAGACTCACTATGGTTGCAGGTCGAAGACTTGACGGAGACAATGAGCCAGCTTTAATACTATATCGTTTACGTTGTGCGCTGTGATGTGCGCTGTGATGTGCGCTGTATATGTATTAGAATGACAAAATGAACACGCGAAACGCGCCTTACTCGTTATACCAGAGCCATACATTTGTTGGAATATTCATTGATAGTGTAGAAATCCAGCGTGCACAGAAAATCATCATATGTTGGTCAGTGTGTCACTAGCACAATTGCATCATGCATCAACCGCTACATACAACCCTGTCATATTCATAACATTCTGCACGGAATCACCACAACATTTTACAGCTTCGGCTCAAGTATGCATGTCTACCTATTCCTAATAAACACCTCACCATGTTCAATATTTTTCAACAGTGTTGCATTCGCGAGCCCGAGCATCCGTACACTCATGTTCGCTATCCGTTCGCTATCTGTTCGCTATCTGTTCGCTATCGTTCGCTATCCGTTCGCTATCCGTTCGCTATCGTTCGCTATGTTCACTGCTGGATCATCTCAGAAAGCTCTTTGCAAAGACGGATTCCCTCTTGATTGACTACGATAATCTACTATTTATAATGTTCATTATCTAGTTTCACCTCCATGAACTTTACCTCTGAAATCACGGAAACCAGTAAGTCGTATAGTAGAATACTGTCATACTTAAGACGCTCCCTGCAATAAGGGCAACTGGTGTGTACAATCTCCCTTATGGCTTCCAGGATCTTCCTCCCCTCCAAAACATGCAGCGCACATTGGTCCAAGAAAATGTCAGTCTCACTTTCCCCCTCCGCCCGAGCGTGTGCGAGTGCTTCCTCGTATACTTCTCCCCATGTATCTTCTGCTACCAACCATACCAACCACTCCTTTCGCCACCTCTGGACGATTCTCTCCGTCGAATTTAGCGTTTGAGAGTCGCAGGGGCAAGGTAAGTCGTTATCCATCGTGAGCACTGAATCGTCGTTGGCGTCCCAGGACAGGTCTTCGCAGTTGTCGACTGATGATGTGATGGCGGAATCGTCGTTGGCGTCCCAGGATAGGTCTTCGTAGTTGTCGACTGATGATGTGATGGGTGCCGCTGTTTGATCTTCGATCTTTTTTTTTTTCTTCCTGTAGAGTAATTAAGTAAATGACGCCCATGGCAATATACGAGACCTTACCTTGCCCTATTGCTAAAAGAAATCATGTGAGCACGAACAGGTAGAGTTGTGTGGGGGATGGACTCACAACGCTACTCGAGCACGAGCCTTGGCGTTTTGAGCTTCTCGAACTCTGTGCAGGGGTGGGTAAGCAAAATTTCAGTGACTCAAAAAATAGACCTACCCTGGCTTCGAGAGCCAACGTTGCGTAGCTGTGCGCTGCCTGGATGATAGGCCGCGTGATGGCCCCTGAGTCGAACGTCTCTGTGAATGCACAAGTTAGACGTGCAGATTGAAATGTGAAGAATTGTGCTTACCATGATTTGGGGGGAAAGGAACGATGGGCACGGTGCCATAAGACATCGACAACTACTACTAAGAGTAATCCACATAATATTTTTTGACATCGACAGCTGGCAATGATCGAGATGATCGATGATATATGCACGGTAAATTGTTAAGCGCTTGTCAGCGGAAGCAATACGTGCTTACTAATGAGTTGTTGGTCCAAGTTTAGGCATTGCAGCCTTAACGCTGATGCGTGGTCTGAGTCTGCTTCATTGTCTTCCTTTGGCACTGCTAGACATGCAACCACGGCCAATAGAATACTGGAATTCCGGCTTTGCAGCCCAAATCAAGCTCCGGACCTATGGTTGGAATTTGGACTCTGCTGGAATGGACACCCAGTATGTCAAAAGTAGTGTAGCGGGTTTGTACCCTCCTGAGCCACATTGACCTGGCTGATGGTTTTTATACAGATGCAAGTCCAAGGCATTCTATTGTCTCGAAGGCCCGCGCATCGTGACGAATTGCCGTTGCGCTCTTGAAGAGGCCTGCGCATTGTGATGAATTGCCGTCGCACTCTTGTTCCTGGTTGGCTGCTAACCCCGCTCCTCCTCACTCATCAAAATAATATTAACCACTCACTCATCACGCCGGCATTTACCTTGACGAATATATCACCTCCCTCACTCGTCATACTGGCATTCCCCCCCCCTCACTCGTCAAAGTGGCATTTACCTGGATGAATACATTTCCTGGACGGACGCATTCCAGCCGAGCTATGCATATCATGGAGACCCGAGTTGCGCAATATTGAAGGTATGCACTGATCAGCACTGCATTGCACTGCCTCTACTAATATGTGCCTAAGCGGTTTCATGTCAACCTCAAGATCTTACAACCCGATTTATGCATATTTTTTTTTCAAACAAATGGCGTTGAATGATAGGACGTGCGCAACGCGTCCGCGTGTCGTGTTTTTGCGTGATCTATCTGATCCATCGCATGCCAAACTTTGAAGCCGTGTCCCCGTCTACATCGTTTCGTTTGTGTGATCTATACGATCCATCAGACGCCAAAAGTTTGAGATACGTCCCCGTCTACACATTTTTCACTCACAGCTCTAAGTATGAGCTACCTCTACACATCCGATGATTTTAACGCCAACGGCGATTTTATTCTCAGCCGGAGGTTTTCTGGATTTGCTTCCTGGGGGGGGAGGTATACTCCCAGCTACCCATACCCAACAGGCGACGATTCCGATCCGATCAGCAGCACTGGCAGTGAACGGTGTTCCCGGGATCAGTCAGATGAACTGGGATGACCCGTCCCTGTACACAATGCCACTTACCAATGACGAAATCGCGGCTATAACTAACGACATAGCAGCACAAATATCCCAACCGTGCCAGAGCTCCCCGCCCCCCCACCAGTTGCCTTCGCGAATACCCTCCCTGCTCGCACACCGTCACCTCAGCCTACTTCAACGCATGACCCAGACTCACCGAGTCCTGCCGAAGCAGAGGCGCCAGACAACCAGTGGAGAGATGCCAGAGTCACTCCGTGAGGCCAACATGTCCTCCTGGGCAGCACGGAACCCAACACGAGCGATTATCCGCCCTCGGACACCACCACCTCGACCTAACAGATGCCCAGAAGGCGTCTCGAAAGATCAAGCGGGACCAGAGGCTAGAGAGAAACGAAGCACTTACACGACGCAGTTGCTGAATACTTAGATGCACAGAAAACGAAGATCGAAGCGCTCTCGCGGGCTCATCATGTTACTCCCAAGCACATCAACGATATCATCGGCAGTCAGACTCATTATCGAACCTCGCGCAAGAGTCAATTAATCAATGCACTTGTTCACGCCAAGGCGAAAGAGATGAACGCAGGTGAGTCAAATGAATTTCAACTCAATTGTATCACGAAGCTTATCCTGCATCAACTAGACCGACCCGCAGGCGCTCGGTACTCGTTGGCGGAACTCCGCCAGATGGTTGCGTCCGACCCTGAAACAAAAGCCCTTACCAGGGAAGAAAAGGAACGCTACATCGCAGCTCTCGAGGAGCATCGTGAAAAAAAGGTCATTAGTGTTCGGGCGAACAATCTGGCGGCTGCACGAGATGTTGTAGCCACAACGGATAGGATCGTCAAAGAGGTACGTCTGAATCTTCAATCTTCACGGCAATCAACTGAATTCATTTTTTTCTTTGAAGCTGGATGATCTGCGAGTTCGGACTGGTGTCTATGGCACACTATTTGTTGTCCGCGGTCACATTAACGATAGCATTCAAAGCGCTATGCACGGCACGGATAACTCTGAAGACTTTTGGGAGGATGTGTACGAGCATCCTATGGCTGACTTTCTTAGGCAATACGAACAATGGGCATGCACCCAGAATCAAAGTAAGTCCTTCGTCTCTTCACATAGTTTGTGTACTTATGCATCGTCCGGTAGATCTCAATGAACGCGACTCTTTGGAAGCTGTCAGAAAGCAAGTACGCAAGATGATCCTCCGGGGCCTAGGTGAGTATCGACGTTCTACAAATTCTGCCCCGTCTAACATTATGCACAGTTGCTGTGACCGGCAAAAAAGATATTGTGATGAACTACCACAACTATGAAACATCCGTCATCGAAACGTATGGGGTGCGCCTTGTGGGCTGGCCCAATGGTGTCAAGTTCACTAGCCCTTCGAACATCGGGACCGTCGGCGACATTCGCAAGCTCCGGGATGCCCTCAAGGCACGTACGTGCTACTGGACAGTTCTATCACCGGCAGAGCTCAAAGCTCACGCGTCTGAACTCGACACGCGACGTTCAGCCGGGGAAGTCGTTCGGAAGCCACGAAAAAAGCGTTCGGATGCTGGCGTACCTCGCAAGCGTAAAGACGGGTCCAGCGCAGGACGGGTAAACAAGGAGAATATCAGGCCTTCGAAGAGAGCAAAGAAGAACTCTACCCAGCTGCAGGAAGGTCCCAAAAGCGCTGAGTTTGTAGAGTCTTCTGACGAAGAGGAGGAGGGGCATGAGTAGTAGTATTGCATTGCCTTAGTCTACATTGTATGACTCATATACGTATCCCAATCATTACTAGCGAATTGTTTGTCAAAACGCGCTCTTAATCCGACCACCTTGAAGTGAGATACTCGAGCTCGTCGTGTGACACGACGAGCTCGAACGTTTCCATCACTATGCGACGTTGGGCACGGTAACCGGATCACGTGAGTCTATTAATAGTACGGTAATACTGACAACCCTCTGCGTACCTACAGCTATATAAAGTCCCTAGCTATCCAGGAGATATTGGAGGAGGCCCTGATTCATTATATCCGCCTGATCTTACAGGTGCGACACACGTGCATTATCACCTATAACTACAGTGCTTACGTGGGAGTCACAGGTGCTTCTTTCCGTCCGATGTCCATGCCAAGCTCCAAACTATGTTATCGTGTTTGGGTGTAATGATCAACTTGCCCGTCTTGCTATCCCAGATTTTGAATCCATTCTCGTTGTCTCCGCCCGTTGCGATTTGTTCGTTATCAGGCGAGTACATCACTGAATGGAAGGTTGCTCGCTATGACCTGATGGTGATGACATAATGTCGTCTATCAGGGCATGGTGTACATAGCTCGATATGATGTTGTAAAGCTGAGGGCACTTCTAATAAATTATGTTTTACATTATAGAATGCAAACTCTTAGACTGCAGTTCTCTCATTCTATATCCATGACTTGCAAGGGACAGTCATTTTGTCACCATCGAACCACGCATTAGCTAAAAGCATAGATATTAAACAACGCGACCAGAGCATTGGTTGATATCAGCATCATGGGAAATATTTGGTGGGGATTCCAGCACACCGGTAACATCCAAGCAAATTTCTTCCTACATTGTAAAACATACACTGCTAGAATAGACTCGTCTCATACTGTATCTAAGGGTTATAAGGGTGATTCATTTTTTCGTAATTGGAACACTAGCGGATGGGAATTCCAGCGAAGTGGCGATGTTGAGCAACATGGTATTATGTTGTCTATGACTTGCAAATGACTTCTCAGCGTGCTAATGAAGAAAAGGAAGATATCTATGACGCTCCAAACCCCATCTTAATAAACTGCGCGACACACAACATTGAGTGCGCGATTATCGATACAATATAACGTGCGCGATACACAGGCAAGATATCTACGCCGCAAGACTTTCTTAAAGGTCGTTCATCAGAGACCAAATAGGGTGCGTGATACAACATCGAGTGCTGCGATACACTTACTGATACTACTGTACTAGATTGTGCCCGAGCGGATCGGAGTCGTCCATGGCCCCTTCCATCCTAGGGGAAAGAGGAAGCCTCGTTATGAGTGCCGCCAGTGCTATCGGATGGGCGGTACCACTTGAAGGCGTCACTACAGCACCGAGCCAGCGTTCTATCCGCCCTCGTCCCCCAGTGTCTCCAGACGCGATGCTACCATCCCGGTGAGCTCCATCTGATTGGCCTGAACATCGATATGGCAAAATGCGCTCTGTACAGCGACACGTATAACGTGCACAGTGCATTCAGCTGGTAGGATGATGGTGTGGTAAGGACTATGATTGCTAGCTGGTGCGCGGGCGTGTCACAAGGACACAGAAAGTGGGCGTGATTGGCAAGTAGGCTATTGATGTTATCTTATGAGCATGCAGCGCACATATACATAGTGCTGTGGCAAAATTCTCGGAGCTGTAGGTGGCTACACGCATGAGGGTGGGGAGGAGCTCTTCACAAAAGTCATCATCATCCATTCCATCCGCTTCGTCGGATATGTAGACGTGTCGGCTGTCCACAGTCACGACAACGGGTTAACGTTTCCAGGCTCGAGCGGACTAAGCGGGAGACATTGTTGCCATTCACGTTGGCGTTGGCGAGAGTGTGCCCGAAGCGAATAATTGCATTGTCATTTGAGGGGCTCTCGACTGAGACATGGAGGGGTGTTGGCGGCTCGCATCAATGTTCAAGGTCAAGGAACGTCTGGATGTAGTACACCGTCGGATTATTGCATGTGAAGCCCCACCTATGGTACATGCAGGAACTTGCATGAAGCAACAGTGATGCGAGGAGGACCGGAAACAGCTGTGGTGGAATGGAATGGGTCGGTTTGGAGCGTCATAGCCGAGCACGGTCTCTAGCGTTTAACGAGTCTGTTTGTCCAATTGAAATATATCAGAGATTACCATCCTCGTCGGCATTAGCGTCACTGAGACTTGAGTCCTCCGTGTGATCGTCCTCCTCGCTCTCCTCCTCGCTCTCCTCCTCGCTCTCCTCCTCGCTCTCCTCCTCGCTCTCCTCCTCGCTCTCCTCCTCGCTCTCCTCGTTCTCCTCCTCGTTCTCCTCGCTCTCCTCCTCGCTCTCCCCCTCGTTCTCCTCCTCGTTCTCCTCCTCGTTCTCCTCCTCGTTCTCCTCCTCGTTCTCCCCCTCACTCTCACTCTCATCCTCCTCACTCTCACCATCATCATCCGCGCCTTCCTCGCCAGGTTCGTCATCGCTTGGACCGTCCACTTGCCAAGGTCCATGTCCGATGCCAGAACCAGTAAACCGAACGAACATATCACGGTCCGCAAATCTGCATGCCGAATGAGATTATGAATCAAAAATTGAGACGACAACGTACATGTTGACATAGTATGCGGTCCAGGTGTCGTCCTCCCTCCATGTGCATCGCATCGAGTTTTGCTGCGGTACAGACCGGGGCATGTGTCCATCTACAAAAGCCGGGATCAGGTGTACCCCGCGAACCACTAATGCAGGGTCCACGAAGCCAAAAGCAGAGTTGTCTGTCTCAGGTGCGAAAGCGACTTTTGGAAGACGAGCTGCCTTGATCCCTGACCGGTACCGCCGCACTGGATCGAACCATCTGACAAACAATATTTCCATATGAGTCTTCTGCGGGTTTGCTCCACTCGGTCGTAAATCGAGTACATTGACATGGAATATGCGCAGTACTCGAGCATACCAATATGGATGAGTGGAACGGGTTTCAGAATCACCCGACAACACCATAATATCAGCGTGGTTGCGAGGGTTGATCAAATCCTGCTGGCATTGCAGATCATATGAAGTGTAATTGACCCGTAGCGTATTGACGGCGAACAGAACATTGTCGCATACGACAACATCATTTCGGTCATCGCCCGAGAATTCGATGACGCCATCTTGCGCCTGAGGCTGCAAGCAACGTAATATGTGGTCTTTAAGCTTCGGAATGAATTTCTTGTGAGAGTGGTTGAGTAGCTAATGCACACAGACTCATGAGAATACGCACCTCAAATGCTGGATCGTTTTTGTTGTCCTGCAGTAGTTCGTGTATACGCACGGGAGAATTGCGATGGTGAGATAGTTGGTGATGAAGGCGGGGATCCGGGGGTGGAAGAGTTTCAGCACAGACTGCGCGAAGGGACGACACTTTCTCCGACTCTTGCATCTTCTGAAGTCGTCGTCGTCGTCGTTCATGTTTTGAAAGCTGCTTGGCAGTATTCTTTTTGTTGGTGAACGGGTAAAGCGCCTTGATGGCCCGATGAGCAAGTTCACCCTACAATTCATATTTAATTTAGAAGCTCGAGCTAATAACTAACCAGCACCTACTATCTGCGTCGTGAAAGAATCGGTCGTTCCGAAAAACTTGATAGACTCGACATAATCTCCAAGAGTGTGGAACTTGTAGGTTTTCATATTGAATGATTTCTTCTTTGGAGAGGATGGGGGTGCGTCAGTAGTCCGGCTTTCTTTAAGCGCTTCGCGTCGATGCCGTGCAGCCTTTTCCTTCGGAAGTTCACTAGTAGCATAGTTATCGCAGACCTTACGGCGGAACTTCCGCAGCTGCTCGGTGAGAGAAGTACATGCTCGCGACATAGACTCCAGGGTCAGTTCAGTATGTAGCCGCAATTTCGCATAAGCGTGCCATTCGGCGAACCTGAATAATAGGGTCTGCACTATCCTATCGTGAGGGGTTGGCAGGAGTCCCTCGAAAACGGGCATAGCACACTGCAACAACGTCAGTAACAATCTCTGGAAAGAAATGATAATGACCTGTAGAATATCTTCAAAGTCTCTTGCAGCCAACCTCTTCATGCTCGATGTATCATCAGAGAATCTGCGGATAACGCCTTGGCCAAAAGTGGGTACATGTCTGAACCTGGAGGTACGGTAGGCTTTTCTGCGAGTTTTGGATAACAGGGTCTTACCTTTTGTTGAGTGCGATTACAACTTCAGCGCCGTTGGGGAGCGCATATAGGAGACGGATCAAATGACTAAAAAGACTCTTCCAGGTCCCTAACTCACACTCGTGCATGAGATCAACGACCAGCATGCGAAACGGGTTGAGTCCGAAGCTGCCGAGCTTTTTTACAAAGACATTCTGCATGCCATATCTCAGCCAAAGTAAATACGACGAGCGAAATACTCACGATAGTCGGAACCCATGATTCACTGGAGAGGGCTTTCTCCACCCCAATGCCATCAACCGCATACCCAGACTTGTATACACCATCCCGAGCGGCCTGTATCTTCTGCAAGCAGTAGACCCTTAAATTTTCGATTCGCGCGCGCATGTCTTTCGCAAATCCAACACGATCGGCCTTCGATTTTGTCACCAGGCAGCGCGGACAAAGACAAGACCCCATGTCTTTGATGGTCGCAATGAGAACCCTGATATTCACATTTCAGCGCCATGCAACACGCGTCTTCGAGCTCACCTACTTTTCAGGATAGTCGGCGGAATACGTGAAAATTCGAGGAAACACGCGGCGAAGTATGCCATCAGGGCATCTCATCACAATACCATGGCAGTATGCATGGAGAAACTCGTCATCCAAAAGGATATCCCAACATCCCTGGAAGAGCTCCCTCCGGCAGTGTGTGTATAGAGCGGCAATCCCGCTTTTCGTGAAGACCCCGAGATTTCGGAAAGTGTCTTTGATTCGACCTGGAAGCTACACCTAGATGTGAAATCGATTTGAGCAATGCGCGCAAAGGACACTTACAGATGGCAAGAATCCGATTAAATGACATGCCCCAGAGCCGGGTTTTGCGCGAGCATACTTCGACAGATTACCAAAAAATAAGTATAGCGGCCATGCTGATGCATTTCCGAAGTTGGTAAGTTGGGTTGCATCCGAGGAAAACATCAAGCCAGCTATTACTCGCTCAAGAGTACAATCAGGCTCCTTGGGCTGCTTCTGTAGGTCGTCGTGGGCTTGTATCCAGGCATCTGACGTATAAAGTTCATCGTAAACACGATACGTGCGCCCGTCATTCGGGTTGGTCCAAATACGACGAAACGGCCATAGATGAAATGCTTTCGCTTGAGCATCTGAAAATGCTTCGCGAATGGCGCTGACCAGCGGCCGATAGTGAAACCCTGGGACGTTAAACGGATGGCCACCGGAAGCATCAACCTTCCGTCCTGGGACTGTTATCGTGACATCCGTCTCCACCCAACCTTCTGGGAATGTCACAGCTGGAGAGGGTGCATCACCGTTCTGCGGATTTTGGTCTGTAATGTCGAGGAGGCTCAGGTACTTCCTCGCACTGAAGCCTTGCAGGTCGATGGTGTTGAAATCCTCTGCAAGCAACACGTCGCGGACCAAACGTGAAACCTCTGCCTCGGACTTTCTAGTACTTCCACTGGACATCCAGTTGAGCAGCCGATAAACGGTCATATTTGGAAAGGGATGTGGAGGCGGAGGAACTGAGGTAGGAGGCTGTAATGTTGGGCACTTTTTGGCCAGTAAACGCGAGGGTATGAAGACGTCGGGTTCATAAGATGGGCGTTGAGGGTAATCACGAGATAGACCGAATGCGCCAATGACATTACGAAGGGATTCAGTGACCAGAAGGATCACCCTTCGGATAATGTTGCTAGCTGGTGGCGCATCATGTGTTGCCGAGTGGGCATCTTGCATCGCATCCTGAGTAGAGGTTTCGATATGGTGGACAACATGTTCCACGGGCTCCGCGACTCGATATCGTTTCGGTAGTCTGGTGCGTCTTCGAGGTTTAGATCGAGCTATTTCATGCATTAGCGCATATAAATGTGCAAGGATGAATTCCTCACCAATACAATCCAGGTTCACATTCATGGCACTGGGAAGAGCGTGTGATTCACCCGAAATTGAGTTATCTGACATGAAAGCGGTCGGTGCAAGAAACCAATAAAATCACCAGGCTTACCGACGACCATCATCGATACATCAAGATCCTGGCTTCCTGCTGGTGCGTTGGTGGCATCTGTGGCACCAGTATCTGGGTCAACATCCATAGGCGACTCCAATGCAGAATCTACGGGAGTGGTCTCTTCAATAGTTGGATCTTCAGAAAGCAACGCCTGCTCCTGTGTCTCAGTATTATTTGCAGAACTCTCTTCCGGAGTGGCGAAACGCTAAAGAATTGTTCTGTGAGTGCCGAGTCTGGAGTCCCGAGTGGCATAGAACTTACTGGAGGGCCAGATAGCTTGTCTTTGAATATCTTCGCAGCTATTGCATTACGGGCACGATCTTTCCGTTTCTGAGAGGCGGCGGCCATCGTTTCCTTATATTCTGCGCAAGTTTTGCGGTGCAAAGTCAGAGCGCGCTGATCTTGCAATGTCCGTAGGCACCCTTGGGCGCCACAAGAGAGTACCATCAATGCAAAGTAGAAAATTAAGACGACCGTTGCGGTGACAGAACCTCGGATTTGGACCATGGGTTCAGTGAAGATTCACCATGTAATTAACTGGCTGGCAGTGGCCCGCAGTGTAGTTAATGTTATGCCATAGCGCTTGGCACGTGACCTTGATAAAGCATCGTTCGACGGATCGAACACAAAGGAAATTCATTCTAGGAAATGCGATAATGTAACATACAAATGTAAGGAGATAATTGGATCGCGGCACACATACTGTCTGATGTGATGAAATATAACGAAAAATGCGCAACAAGCCCACTGTACTGCACAAAAGGCAACCACTTTAGTCGACCTCCTTGACAGAAGGGCTGTCCCCGTTGGCGCCAGGGAAACCCCCTGGTGAACCGCCAGGAGCACCACCTGCAGCACCGTAGAGCATCTGCATGATGGTGTCGACAAATGACAATACTCTCCAACTCCATCAGTTTCGAATCGTACTCCTCGATGCTTCCCATGATGCATCTAGCCACGAGATGATCTCATTGGCAGAGTTCTCGAGCTTCGACTTGTTTGGCAAGCTGCTTCGGTGATAAGGTTATGGAGGTCGTAAGCGCGTGGTTCTTGGCCGTTCTTGGCCTGAATGCGAGCAGCAGCAGCTTCACCCTGCGCTATAAGATAGGCAAGTCAGTTTATGTATGCGAAGATCATAGCAAAGCAAAAACATACCCTTGTACTTCTCAGCCTCGTTAAGCATGCGCTCGATCATCTCTGTTGACAAGCGGCCCTTGTCATTAATGATCGTGATGCGGTTTGACTTCCTGAAGGTCTTGGATGATGCGGAGATGTTCAGGATACCGTTGGCGCTGATGACGAAGGTAACCTCGATCTGAGGAACACCACGAGGTGCGGGAGGAATACTAGACAGCTCGAAATTGCCAAGCAGGTTGTTGTCTTTCGTGCATCCGCGCTCATCCTCGTACACCTGGATCAAGGTACCAGGCTGGTTGTCCAGGTGCGTCGAGAAAGTCTCCGATTTCTTGGTGGGAACGGTGGTGTTGCACTTGCCGCAAAGGATCGCAGCACCATGAGCAGCAGCCTCCTCGAGGGTGGTGCTCTTGTTGGGCTCCTTGCCGTTAGCGAAGTTAGAAATGAGCTTGGGGATACGGGGCATATGAGTGGAACCACCAATGAGGACAACTTCGTGGATGCTCACCTTGTTGATCTTGGAGGCCTGGAACCCATTAGAGCGGGACGTACGGTTGGGGTAGCGTATGCAGCCTAGGTGGGGTCATAAGTTGAGACGTACAGACAGACCCGACAAGCCAACCCGTGGCGAACTCGAACAGCGTGAGCGCTCTCCCACAAAAACAGGAAGTCACTTGGACAAACCGTCATCGAAAACAGGGTGTCACTTGGACAAACTGTCAATGAAGACGGGGGGTCGTCCAAGAAGACGTGAGAAGTCACTTGGACAAACCATCATCGACAAACCGTGTGTCACTCGGACAAAGGGTCAACGAAGACGGCGTCCAAGAAGACATGAGGGGGTGTGGAGGGATTGCATAGAGCAGGAGGGGATGTCGTGCAAACGCTGTACCAAACATTC